ACCAGTGTCAAAGAGCTTTTTCCCAAGTTTTTTTCTAGGACAGTAGTACAGTTTCAGGTCTTTTTTTTTGGAGTGTAAGTCTTTAATCCATTTTGAGTTGATTTTTGTGTATGATATGAGATATGCGTCCACTTTCATTCTCTTCCATGAGGATGTCAGTTTTCCCAATGCCATTTATTGAAGAGATTGTCCTTTCCCTATTGTGTATTCTTGACCATATATGCATGGGTTTATTTCTGGGTTGGCTATTCTGTTTTGGTTTATGTCTGTTTTATGTCAGTAATATATTGTTTTGATTACTAAAGCTTTGTAAAGTAATTTGAAATCAGGAAGTATGATGCTTTCAGCTTTGTTCTTCTTGCTCAAGATTGCCCTAGTTATTTGGGATCTTTTGTGGTTCTGTATGAATCTTAGTATTTTTTTTCTATATCTGAAAAATGTCATTGGAATTTTTGTATAGACTGCTATGAATCTGAATGTCTTTTCATTTATCAGCATCTTCTGCAATTTCTTTCATCAGTGTTCCATAGTTTTAAGTGTACAGATCTTTCCCCTCAGTTAAATTTATTCCAAAGTATTTTATTCTTTTAAAAAATATTTATTTATTTGTTTTATTTGGCTGCATTGGGTCTTAGTTGCAGCACACACGGGAACTTTTGTTGTGGAAAATGGGTTAGTTGCCCCAAGGCATGTGGGATCTTAGTTCTCTGACCAGGGATCAAACCAGCAACCCCTGCTAGAAGGCAGATTCTTAACCACTGGACTACCAGGGAAGTCCTTTTTAATGGTACTGTATGGAGAAGGAAATGACAACCCACTCCAGTATTCTTGCCTGGAAAATCCCATGGACAGAGGAGCCTGGTGGGCTATACTCCACGGGGTAGCAAAGAGTTGGACACGGCTGAGCGACTTCACTATGGGATTGCTTGGTGAATTTCTTTTTCAGATAGTTCATTGTTGGTATATATACAGCTTATTTTTGCATGTTGATTTTGTATCCTGCAGCTTCACTGGATTAATTTCCTAGTTTTCATAGTTTTTTGGCGGTGTCTTTAGAGTTTTCTATATATAAGATCATGTCAACTGCAAAGAAAGACAATTTATTTCTTCCTTACCAATCTGGATGTCTTTTGTTCTTTTTCTTGTCTGATTGCTCTAACTAGGACTTCCACTTCTATGTTGAATAGAAGTGGTCAGGAGTGGGCATCCTTGTATTGTCCCTGATCTTAGAGGGAAAGCTTTCAGCTTCTCACCATTGAGTATGATGTTATGTGTAAGCTTGTCATATATGGCCTTTATTATACTGAAGTACATTACTAATTCTGTATCTAACTTGTTGAGAGTTTTTATCATGAAAGAATGTTCACTTTTGTTAAATGTTTTTTCTGCATCTATTGAGATGATCATATTAATTTCATCCCACAGGCTTTCATTATGGCACATCACATTTAATGGTTTGCCGATGTTGACCCATCCTGGCATCCCAGGGATAAATCCCACTTTGATCATGGTATAGGGTCCTTTTAATGTGCTGCTGAATTCAGTTTCCTAATGTTTCATTGAGGATTTTTACATCTATGTTCATCGGGGATATTGGCCTGTAATTTCCTTTTCTTATAGTGTCCTTATCTGGCTTTGGTATCAGAATGATAGCATCATAAAATGAGCTTGGAAGTGTTCCTTTCTCTTCAGTTTTTTTGAAGAGTGAGGAAAGGATTAGCATTAACTTGTCAGGAAATCTCTGGAAGAATTCACCAGTGAAGCCATCCAGTCCTAGGCCTTTCTTTGTTGGGAGAGGCTTTGGGGTTTTTTGTTTGTTTTTTTGCTTATTAATTTATTTTAAAATAGTGACAATAAATCCATTTTATTTTAAAATAATGAGATATTTTCATGAAAATGAGATTTTCCAAAACAAAAAGTAATGTGAACAGAGCATTGTCTTATGTTTTTTAATATCTCCTTAAGGGCTGGCTTAATATGAAAGAGCTGGATTCTCATGTTTCTGCATTCAGTATGGGGCAATATTTGGTTGAAATGTATGAAGAAAATCCAGCCTCACAGAGACATGTAGTTAGGAAAGGGAGGAGTGTCTTAGAAACTTCTTTAAATCATTATAGATATTCTTCTTTGCTTTTATTTCCAATATTCTGGGAGGTGGGTCATAGAAGTTCCTGCTGTGATTTATGTCAGAGAGTGTTTTGCCTATGTTCTCCTCTAGGAGTTTTATAGTTTCTGGTCTTACATTTAGATCTTTAATCCATTTTGAGTTTATTTTTGTGTATGATGTTAGAAAGTGTTCTAGTTTCATTCTTTTACAAGTGGTTGACCAGTTTTCCCAGCACCACTTGTTAAAGAGGTTGTCTTTTTTCCATTGTATCTCTTTGCCTCCTTTGTTGAAGATAAGGTGTCCATAGGTTTGTGGATTTATCTCTGGGCTTTCTATTCTGTTCCATTGATCTATATTTCTGTCTTTGTGCCAGTACCATACTGTCTTGATGACTGTGGCTTTGTAGTATAGTCTGATGTCAGGCAGGTTGATTCCTCCAGTTCCATTCTTATTTCTCAAGATTGCTTTGGCTATTCGAGGTTTTTTGTATTTCCATACAAATTGTGAAATTATTTGTTCTAGTTCTGTGAAAAATACTGTTGGTAGCTTGATAGACAAATGGGACCTAATTAAACTTAAAAGCTTTTGCACAACAAAGGAAACTATAAGCAAGGTGAAAAGACAGCCTTCAGAGTGGGAGAAAATAATAGCAAATGAAGCAACAAAGGATTAATCTCAAAAATATACAAGCAACTCCTGCAGCTCAATTCCAGAAAAATAAATGACCCAATCAAAAAATGGGCTAACGAACTAAACAGACATTTCTCCAAAGAAGACATACAGATGGCTAACAAACACATGAAAAGATGCTCAACATCACTCATTATCAGAGAAATGCAAATCAAAACCACAATGAGGTACCATTACATGCCAGTCAGGATGGCTGCTATCCAAAAGTCTACAAGCAATAAATGCTGGAGAGGATGTGGAGAAAAGGGAACCCTCTTACACTGTTGGTGGGAATGCAAACTCATACAGCCACTATGGAGAACAGTATGGAGATTCCTTAAAAAACTGGAAATAGAACTGCCATATGACCCAGCAATCCCACTTCTGGGCATACACACCAAGGAAACTAGATCTGAAAGAGACACGTGTACCAAATTGCAGCACTGTTTATAATAGCCAGGACATGGAAGCAACCTAGATGCCCATCAGCAGACGAATGGATAAGGAAGCTGTGGGACATATACACCATGGGATATTACTCAGCCATTAAAAAGAATTCATTTGAATCAGTTCTTTCCTTAGTGAATCTAGCTAAAGGTTTGTCAATTTTATATTTTCAGAACACCAGGTCTTCATTGATTTTTTTTCTATTGTTTTTCTAGCTTTTATTTCCGTTATTTCCACTCTGATCTTTATTATTTCCTTCCTTCTGTTAACTTTGGATTTTGTTGTTCGTTTTCTAGTTCCTTGAGATGTAAATTAAGTTGTTTGAGATCTTTCTTTTTTCTTCATTTTGGCATTAAGCTATACTTTCCTCTTAGAGCTGCTTTTGCTTCACTTCATACTTTTTGGTATGTTATACTTCCATTTCTGCTTGCTTTAGATAGTTTTTTTTTTTAATTTCTCTTTTGATTTCTTCTTTGGCTCATTGGTCATTCAGGAGTGTGTTAATTTCCACATATTTGTGAATTTTCTAATTTTTCTCCTATTATTGATTTCTAGTTTCATACCATTGTGGTCAGAAAAATACTTGATGTGATTTCAGCTTTTTAAGATTGTTAAGATGTGGTTTATGACCTAACATATGCTCTGTCCTGGAGAATGTTCTGTGACATATGAAGAGAATGTCTATTGTGCTGCTGTTGGATAGAATGTTCTCTATATATTTGTTGGGTTCGTTTGGTCTAAAGTATAGTTCAAGTTCAGTGTTTCCATTGCTGGCTTTGTTTTTGTCTGATCCATCCACTATTGAAAGTGGGATAGTGAAGTCCCCTACTCTTGTTGTTGCTATTTTCCCTGTGGGTATATTAATATTTGCTTTATGTATTTAGGTGTTCTATCTACCATAATTTTAAATTTATGATGAGTTTAAATCATATTTGGAGAGCTCTTTCACAATTAAACGTGTGATGTTACATTGGTCAGATAGGCCAATACTACTGTGTTGCTGCTTACGTTCATACCAAAGAAAATAGCAACTTACAGTTAGAAGTTGGTGACAATTAAAACAAATAACTTTCCCACCCAAGTTTACTGTAAATTTGTAGCCCAAATTCAGGGGCCCAGTCTTAGGTCCCATGCCCTGTCAAGTCCCACTCCAGTCCTACCCTTAGAGAGTAGCACTCGGGTGTTCATTTGTTCAGTAAGCACTGAACACCAGCTCTGTGCCAGGCCTAGTGATAAATGGTCAGATCCACAGTCAAATAAGATGAGGTCGCTACCTTTAAGCTGCTCACTCAAGGAAGAGCATTAGAGATACCATTCCAAAGTGCAGAATGTAAATAAGCACAGGAACATATCGTCTACCCTTCCTGGTAATCCAATAAACCCAATGATGCTGAGGTTGGGGTCACTCCTGGGTAGTAGTAACACTGACTATTGCATAATAGTTTTGAAAAGACATGCATAGCATTGATCATAGAAATTCCATACCCTTCTTTCTCAGCACACTCGCTCTCACAAATTTGTACCAAGGAAATAATTCAGGACAAAGGACAGAGTGGAACGCAGAGGTCCTTCCCTCTGCTTTTCTGGAATCTGTGAGCTCCTGAGGAAGGGGCTGGGACTTACTCAGCTTGTGGCCCCATGCTGGCACATGTTAACACTGAAAGGCCTGTTGGGTGGATGTTGGACCATCATGCAGTTCTGATGGACAGGAGAGGGAGCTGGTAGGAGGGGCAGTCCACAAGCCCCCCGCTGACCCACTTCCTGTTTCCTCTTCTAGCCACCAGGACATCAGGAAAGATGGACAAGCCGCTCATCAGCCACCAGCTGGTGGACAGTGATGGCAGCCTTGCTGAGGCCCCCAGTGAGGTTCCCAAAGTGGGCATCCTGGGCAGCGGGGACTTCGCCCGCTCCCTGGCCACCCGCCTGCTGGGCTCCGGCTTCAGTGTGGTGGTGGGGAGCCGCAGCCCCAAACGCATGGCTGGGCTGTTTCCCTCGGCAGCGCGAGTGACTTTCCAGGAGGAGGCGGTGGGCTCCCCGGAGGTCATCTTCATAGCTATGTTCCGGGAACACTACTCCACACTGTGTGGCCTCAGTGACCAGCTGGCTGGCAAGATCCTGGTGGACGTGAGCAATCCCACGGAGCGGGAGCACCTTCAGCACCGTGAGTCCAATGCTGAGTACCTGGCCTCCCTTTTCCCCACCTGCGCAGTGGTCAAGGCCTTCAATGTCATCTCTGCCTGGACCCTGCAGTCTGGTCCGAGGGATGGAAATCGGCAGGTAAGTGCTGGAAGAATGCCAGTCATCCTAAAAAATGTAAGTGGCTAACTGTCACTGAAGGCCCTTGGAGTACCAGGCTCTTTGGGTACCTTATCTCAGCTCATCTCACAGGACTGCAAAGTTCCACTCCACAGAGTAGGGACGTGTGGTGCAGAGTTGCTAATGGGTTCACTTACACCGCATCCCTTAGCTTGGTGAGCTGGGGTTTGAACCGGAACTCCATGTTCTTCTATGGTAATTTGATTTCCAAGAAGGTAAGGAGGAAAAGGTTGATGGCTTTCTTTTTACTATCTGGAGTCAAGAAGAAGAGAGATTTTGCTTTTAGGGTTGGACTTAGAAAGAAGAACCTGTTGCAGGTCCTGAGGAAGCAGGCAAGTCCCAAACTTTATCCCATTTATTCCAAGGGCTTCCCAAGAACTTAGTAGATTTCTCAGAATAGTTAACAGCAGGTTTTTCTGGAAGTGGGAAATGGCTCCAGAAAACAGCCATTGCTACATACAGTTGTTGGCAAGAGAGGCTGTAACCAAGACAAGATGGTTTTTAATGTCAAGAGGCCACCTGCAGTTTCCTGGAGGAAGGATGCCAGGCTCCACGTGTGTATGATACCCTCTTCCAATGAGTCCAGCTCAGACGGCTCCTCTGCCAACTCCATGCCAGGCTGTGGGTGAGCCCTCGGGTCCCCAGCCCCTCTAACTGGAGGGTCCTCTTTACAGCCTGCATCTTGGGACTCTCATATGTGGACAGACAAGGGACAGTGGCTGAATGTAGACTAGCAGGGCCTGGAGGGAGCAGAACCAGCAGCTGGCTGGGGAAGCCTTTGAGGTCAGCTTTGGCCTTGGCCCTGCCTCGTGCCATCAGGCACAGAAACGGCGTTCCTTCTGAGGCACAGAGGTGAGAATGATGTCCCCAAACTTCAGTCTCCTCCCCTGAAAAATGTGACAATAGTGCCTACTTTCAGGCTTGAGGCAACGCTGAGGGGTCACACGTGTTAAGCCTGGCACACGGTAGGTCCTGAGTCAGTGTGGGTAGAGCGGGTGACCACAGCAGTGTCGGCAAGACACATGGAGTGTTTGGGGTCAGAGGACACCAGTGGACCTGCCTGGGGGCTCACAGAGGGCAGCAGTGGGCTGCAAGGCAGGGGCTGGCTTGTGGAATGCCTCGCGTGTTGACTGAGAACTGCAAGGGGCAAGAGGACGTGGTCAGAGAGGACACTTGTGGCCTGAGGTATGCAGCTACAGCCACAGCGGCACATTCTGGGCCACATGCAAAGCCCAGCTGCTGAGCAACCCCCAGGGCAGGCCAGAGTCCTCGAGGCACCCCTTCCAAGGGCCCCTGGGGGCTGCCTAGATGGGTGTTCTGCTTGTGGGTGCTGATGGCTGTGAGCTGGGTGAGATGCTCACTGTTGAATGAGTGTTGGCCATCCTTGAGTAGTGGGCATTGCTGGGTCAGAGACCGGGAGACCACAGGTTGCCGAGGAAAGGCCTCTGGGCTGGGAGTCAGGGCCACCTTCTGCTCCGGCTGTACCTTACCTGGCAGCTTGCTGGGCCTCAGTTTCCTTGGCTACTTAGAGAGGAGTTTGGCCAGGAGGCTCTCTGAGGCCCCACCCAGGGACCCCATCTGACACCTCCCACCTCCCTCCCCACAGGTGCCCATCTGCAGTGACCAGCCGGAAGCCAAGCACACTGTTTTGGAGATGGCACGGGCCATGGGCTTCACCCCTGTGGACATGGGGTCCCTGGCCTCAGCCTGGGAGGTGGAGGCCATGCCCATGCGCCTCTTCCCAGGCTGGAAGGTGCCCGCTCTCCTGGCCCTGGGGCTCTTCATCTTCTTCTACGCCTACAACTTTGTCCGGGACGTGCTGGAGCCCTACGTGCAGGAGGGCAAGAACAAGTTCTACAAGCTCCCCGTGTTCGTGGTCAACACGACCCTGCCCTGCGTGGCCTATGTGCTGCTGTCGCTGGTGTATCTGCCCGGCGTGCTGGCAGCTGCCCTGCAGTTGCGCCGCGGCACCAAATACCAGCGCTTCCCCGACTGGCTGGACCACTGGCTGCAGCACCGCAAGCAGATCGGCCTGCTCAGCTTCTTCTGCGCAGCCCTGCACGCGCTCTACAGTCTCTGCCTGCCGCTGCGCCGCTCCCACCGCTACGACCTGGTCAACCTGGCCGTCAAGCAGGTACGGCCCTCGTGAGTCGTCTCCTGCCAGTCATGGTGCCGGCTGTCCCCTAGGTACAACCCACCACTTGTCATCTGCCAGTTCTTCCCAGTGGCACAGCGGTAGAGAATCTGCCTGCCAATGCAGGAGACGCAAGAGTTGGGGGTTTGATCCCTGGGTTGGGAAGATCCCCCGGAGGAGGGAATGGCGGCCTGCTCCAGTAGTCTTGCCTGGAGGATCCCATGGACAGAGGGGCCTGGTGGGCTACACTGAGGGCAGCCCCATCCCTCTAGGTTCTCAGGCTGAAAACCCAGTGTCATCCTCGACCGCCTTAGCTATCCCACGTCTATTACAGTGATTCTTTGTACTCCAGCTTCAAATTGGGCCTTCAGTACCTTCGCGGGGGTTGCAAAGTGTCAGACATGACTGAGCACACAACACCATTCTGCCAGACGGGGCCGTGTCCACATCCTGCTGTCCAAGATTCTGAGTATCAGTGAACAAAGCGTCAAAGTCTCTATGCGCCCAAGTCAGGGAGACTTAAAGTGTAGCTATAAGTTACAGAGGGTATTTAGAAGGTAGTTTTCACTATGGAGGGCTTCCCAGGTGGCACAGTTGTAAAGAATTGGCCTGCCAATGCAGGAGATGTGGGTTTGATCCCTGAGTTGGGAAGGCCCCCTGGAGGAGGGAATGGCACCCTACTCCAGTATTCTTGCCTGGAAAATCCCGTGGACAGAGGAGCTTGGCGGGCCATATACATGGGGTCGTAAACAGACACAACTGGGCACACGTGCCTATTGCTAAGGAGGAAGAGAAACCTGGGGAGAAGGGTGGGGCGCAATTTTAAAGGGTGGCGTAGGAGTGCTTGAGTAGGTGATATGTGAGCACAGGTTGGAAGGAGAGGAGCTACCTGGCACCTCTGAGGAACAGCAAGGAGGACCTCTTGGTGGAGCCCAGGGAGGCAGTGGTGGGTGAGACCTGGGAGGCTGAAGCTACACCAGAGAGGCCTTGAAGGCCAAGGAAGGGCTTTGGCCTTAGACTCTCAGCCAACGAAAGGTTTTGAGTAGAAGACAGATGATCCACCCGGGGTTTTAATTGGCTCACTCTGCTGCCAGGTGGAGAAGATAGAAGATCTTCTAACTTGATCAGATGAAGATGCTGGGAGATCAGTTAGGAGGCTATGCAGGAACCCTGACGAGAGGCGATGGAGGCTTGGAATGGGGTGGGGGCAGCGGAGGGGCAAGAACGTACTGAAGGCATGTTTTGAAGCCTGAGTCACAGGATTGCTGTAATAGACTTGGGATAAATGAGGTGCTCAGGTTCTTAGCCTGAATACCTAGGGGGATGGAGTTACCATCATCTGAGATGGGGAAGGCTGCAGAAATGTGTTTTTTTGGGGGGTGGGCACATTAATTATGCATTTAGGAAAGCCAGATGGTGCTCGTTTGCCATCAAGATTCCTGGAAATGCAGGGCCTTCAGGCCAAGCCAGATAGCACCACAGGCAGCCTCCCCTGGCACCTGTACCCACAGAAATAGGCCCCCCAGATGCTTCCTCCTGGTTTACAAGCTCACAGGGCCTGATTCTGACTCCAAAGCTCAGGTCTGCAAGCAACACTGCTTTTCTTTGTTTTCCCAACCTGCTTGATTCTACCTCTAGCCCTCAGCCTCTGGCCTGGTGTGTGGGTCCTACACACTCCAGGACACTTAAGTCATCCAATGAGACCCTTCTCATCTACCCGTGGTTCCAGCTGCAGTTTTGCTCTTGCTTGGGAAGCAGGGGTCCTACGGAGGCTGTGCCCTCCCCAGGTACATCCGCCATGCAGCCATCCTCTCAGAGGCCTGGCCTCTTCCCAGAGCAGGACTGTGGGGCAAGGTGGGCCCGCTTCCTGGGAACCACAGGCCTCAGCCCCTACTCACTTGGGTTCCTGCTCCTCTGCTCGCAGCTTCTCAAATGCCCTTGTCCTTCTCCACTCATGGACACCTGGCATCATTGCATCTGTAGGCTTGGGCTTTCATAATAGAAAGTTGGAACCCAGACTTCAGGTGCAAAAGCAAGACACCTGCTGGGAACAAGAAAAAAAGGGAAAAATAATGGTCACACACTCTTTAAAAAGAGCTTAAGTGTTCTAAGTAGCATTCTAAGAGCTTTACATACCCAGCGTGAATTCATTTAGCCTTTATCTCTATAAGGCAGATGCTGAACTACCCTTGTTTTACAAGTGCTAAAACTGAGGCATGGTGAGTTTAAGTTACTTGGCCAAAGTCACACAGCCAGTAAGGGGCTGAGGTGGGATGTAGATCCAGCCATTCTCTTCCAGATCAAAGTTCATACCCATGTAATTTCTACAGGGAAAACACGTCCAAATTACCAGTTGAGTAAGTGATCCCAGAGCTCATTCATTCACTGAGTTCTACTCTACCAGGCCCTAAGGCCACAGGATGAAATAAGACAGTCTCATCCTCCCCTTAGCTGGCAGCGGGTGGCGTGCAGCCCAGAACCCTGGACTCTTGTCCTCTACCATCACTGATGGGAACAAAGAGCTTGGCCTCGAGCAAGTCATAGTCCCTCCTCGGTTCTCAGCGCCCCGGTGGAGATGGAGGTCTTCCCCAGTGCTAGTGGTTTTGATGCGCTCTGATATTCTCCCCCTGGGCAGGAGGTCCTGCATAGCTCCCTGGGGTATGGCACAGTGCTTGCTGCCCAGGAGGTGGCAGATCTGGGTGGCAGGTATTCCAGGCAGTGGGTAGGGAGGAAGGTGATGCCCCCTTCCCACCAGAGCACGAGGCAAACCCCTGGCTGCCCCTTCCCCTGCTCACCTCTGACTGCCACTCTCCAGGTTCTCCACCCTGCAAAGGCACTTTCTGTTTTTGTTTTTAGTTCATTCATTCATTTATTTTTGGCCGAGCTGGGTCTTTGTTGTCGCGTGGGCTTTCTCTAGGTGAGGCAAGCGGAGGCTACTCTTTGTTGCCGTGTCCAGACTTCCCATTGCAGTGGCTTCTCTGGTTGCTGAGCACATGCTCCGGGCACACGGGCTCAGCAGTTGCGATGTGCAGGCTCTAGGCGCTCCGTCTTCAGTAGTTGTCACTCCCGGACCCTAGAGCTCATGGGCTTCAGTGGTGGCTCGCAAGCTCTAGAGTGTGGGCTCAGGACCTACGGCACACGGGCTTCTTTGCCCTGCAGCATGTGGAGTCAACTGGACCAGGGATCAAACCCAGGTCCTCTGTCTCGCAGGCAGATTCTTATCCACTGTGCCACCAGGGACATCCTCACAGCTCTTCTTGATATTATGTTAATATAGTTTTGCCATGATGCTAATACCAAGGCACAGAGGGGCAAGTACAAGGTCATTTTCCCTGAGTTTCAAAGCCCTATAAGGCTGCAGGCCCCAGTGGAGGTTGCCAGGCAACCATCACTCCCACAGGATTGGATCAGAGACAGATAGCAAAGTCAAGCGAAGGGGCCGAACCTTGTTCTGCAGTGTTCTGTAGGGCAGAGCCAGGGCTGCTGTGGGTATGTCGGGGTTGGGGGCGGGGGCGGGGGGGGGGGGGTTGGCGTTTAACAGCAGAGCAGCCCAGAAGTAGGATGCACACCCAAGAAGTGATGAGTTACCTGAACCTGGAGGTTCAGATACTGGATAGTCTGCGGGTCAACCGTGCCCTCAGGATCCAAGACTGGGCATCTGAGGTTGTTCTGCATTCAGCCCCTAACAGCAGGGCTCTGGGGGCAGTTTGTGACTGGTGACTTTCCCAGTCTGCCCTCGGGCTGCCCTCTCAGGGCCTGCAGGAGGCAGGCACACAGCACCTTGGCTGCCCGACTGGAGGGAAAGGAGCACGCTAGTCTGGGCATAGGAAACACAGACTTCCTTTAACCCCAAGTCCACAGAATTAGAGACGCAGCTGTATACCAGCTGCAGAGAGGGCCTATGAGACCATGTTTATCGACAGTATTAATAGGATTACCAATGGTAACTAGTACTTTCTGATTTACTTCTATGGTAGATCATATTTCATTTATTAGTGCTTTCTGATTTACTTGTATGGTGCCTTAGAAATACATTTTAAGATCAAAATCAGTATCAAAGAAAATATTTTATGCACACACTGTCTTCTCCTTCCCCACACCCTAAATCTAGTCTAAGCTGTCAGAGAGAACCATCTAGATCTCACATGTGACCACGTCACTGCTGAAAAGCATTTGGTGACTCAGGATAAGGACAGACCCTTCACAATGCATCTGGGCTCTGTCCCCAGCCTCATCTCCCCAATGCTTCTTTGACACGTCACACTCAGGTCCCATATTGTCCTCTGAATGGGCAGTGCTCATTCCTCCAGCTTGGATACCCCAACCTGGGACACCTTGGGAGTCTGACAAACTCCTATTCCTCCTTCAAAACCCAACCTCTATTAAGCCTCTCCAGCCATTCTCCCGTTCCCCATTCCCCATTCACCTCTGTAATCTGTTGTGTTTGGGCCACATTTCTATGATATTTCCTTTGCAGCACTGTGTAATCACTCCTCGACATGTCTGCCCAGCCTAGATTCCCATGACTGGGTGGGTCTTCCACCCCTTGAGGTCCATGGTTCCTAACACAGAGTCCCAGTGCATGCTCACTGAGTGACTGTTAGCTTGGCCACCATGAAGCTAACACCAGGCATCTCTCAAGAGAAGTCTGGGTAGAGCTTGGGGAAAGAACTAGCCTAACTTCCCAGCTGCCATTAAGACCAACAGCACCAGCCATTTATTATATTAATCATCTACTATGTGCCAGTCACATGCTTCTCACTTCACAAACATCATCCATTTAGTCTTTGAAATAACAGAGAGAGGTGTCGGTACTCTGGAAAGCGACTGCCTGGATCTCAGGACTGCCCCCCAGCAGCAGAGCCAGCATTGGAACCCAGGCCTTGGGACAGCGAAGCCATTCTCACCAGTACCCTAGACTGACCCTTCTCCTGCCTTAACATATTCTCCGGTTTTGGCTGGAGGTCAGCATCACCCTCTTGCCAACCACCACCCACTCCTGGGACATGGTGAGTCTTCTGGTCTCCTGTCCTTGAGCCCTTCTGCCTCTAACCTGAAACCCACAGGGAAAGGAAATGTCATGCATGGATGCCAGCGTTCCATCTCTTGTTGATGCGCGCTGTCCTCATCGTGTCAAGTCGGCCAGCTTGATTAGCTCTGAATGTGGGAGAATCCCTTGGGGAGTGGAGAGCCATCGAATCTATGTCCCGGTTAGCCGCGTGTGACCCTGGTTGCTGGGAGCCCTGAGAACAGCACTGTGGTTGGAGGAGACCCCCACGGCTTACTATCCAGATGCTCACACAGGCTACTCACCACCCGCGACTCCCTCGTCCGCCTCACCCAACCCCTTCCCAGCATCACTGCTGACTGGAAATACTAGGGAAAAAACAAGACATTTTGGAAGCAAATGTGGTGTGCGTCATCATCCAGACTCTTGTGACATTAACTGCCTAATCTTACCAAAATGCAGGAGGGAGTGACTAATGAAGTAGATCTGAAGAACAGACAACTCAGAACATGAGGATGACTTACAAGCAGCAGTCATTAGTCCTGGGAAGGTGTGAGTAAGCCTCCACCAGGCTCAGGTGGGAGGGAGACCTCCCAGCCCCCTTCAGGGTAATATCCGGCCCCGCCTTCCCTAGCTAGTGATGACATTTGTTTGGTAAGGGAGCAAATTTCTGGGATTTCAGACACGAGCTCTTCCTGCTCTGTCAGTGGAGAAACGGGGGCCCAGAGCTGGAGGTGCCCAGAGTCTCACAGGACTCGTGGTCAGGGTGAGAACCCGGGTCTGCAGACTCCTGGTCCTCTTGTGGCTTAATCACACCAGCGAGAGCCAGCCTGCCCTGAAGTGGAACAGAGCCCGTCGTTTCTCACAAACTGCAGGAAGAGTGCTCAATGGATGGCACTGCCTCAGTTTCTTCCAACTTTTTCTCATAAGCTTTTCAAGCATTTTTGCTCAGCCCACTAGATTCATTTTTATTATTACATCTTCTAGCTGCACTGGGGTTATTTTTTTTTCCCTTGCTGAAATAGTTTCTCAAAAACCTGACTGACTCTGTTTTGCAAAGCAGAGACGTGCCTGCTAAAGCCTGGTCATGTTTCTTAAGGGGAATGCTGCTCCTTGCCCTGTGGGTAGAACTGAAGCACCAGCATTTCCCAGTGTTCTGAGAGAACACCTTGACCTCCGGGAACTCTGCTACTTGGTCTAGTTGGGAAATGATATTTTTAATAGGAGGATCTGTCAGCCGGCTTTGAGGAGGCTCAGGTGCACGGGCACTCCCCGTGGGGAGGAAGGGAGTGGACACCTGTGGGCCTGCAGTGGCTCGTCAGTGGGTGCATCCCTGGAGCTCAGTGGGGGATCTGGAACTCTATGAGGGCAGGTGTCTTTGCTGTCTGTGGCCCAGGGCCTAGCACACTGATCAGTTCAGTTCAGATCAGTCGCTCAGTCGTGTCTGATTCTTTGTGACCCCATGGACTGCAGCACGACAGGCTTCCCTGTCCATCACCAACTCCCAGAGCTTACTCAGAACTCATGTCCATTGAGTCCGTGATGCCATCCAACCACCTCATCCTCTGTCGTCCCCTTCTCCTCCTGCCCTCAATCCTTCCCAGCATCAGGGTCTTTTCCAGTGAGTCAGTTCTTCACATCAGGTGGCCAAAGTATTGGAGTTTCAGCTTCAGCATCAGTCCTTCCAATGAACACCCAGGACTGATCTCCTTTAGGATGGACTGGTTGGATCTCCTTGCAGTCCAAGGGACTCTCGAGAATCTTCTCCAACATCACAGTTCAAAAGCATCAATTCTTCTGCACTCAGCTTTCTTCACAGTCCAACCCTCATATCCAATACATGACCACTGGAAAAACCATAACCTTGACTAGATGGATGTTTGTTGGCAATGTAACGTCTCCACTTTGTAATATGCTATCTAGGTTGGTCATAGCCTTTCTTCCAAGGAGGAAGCGTCTTTAATTTCGTGGCTGCAATCACCATCTACAGTGATTTTGGAGCCCAAGAAAATAAAGTCTGTCACTGTTTCCATTGTTTCCCCATCTATTTGCCATGAAGTGATGGGCCCAGATGCCATGATCTTAGTTTTCTGAATATTGAGCTTTAAGCCAGCTTTTTCACTCTCCTCTTTCATTTTCATCGAGTCTGTTTAGTTCTTCTTCGCTTTCTGCCATAAGGATGGTGCCATCTGCATATCTGAGGTTATTGATTTGATTCCACCTTGTGCTTCATCCAGCCTGGCATCCCTCATGATGTACTCTGCATGTAAGTTAAATAAGCAGGGTGACAATCCACAGCCTTGACGTACTCCTTTCCTGATTTGGAACCAGTCTGTTGTTCCCTGTCCAGTTCTAACTCTTGCTGCTTGACCTGCATGCAGATTTCTCAGGAGGCAGGTCAGGTGGTCTGGTATTCCCATCTCTTAAAGCATTTTCCACAGTTTGCTGTGATCCACACGGTCAGAGGCTTTGGTGCCGTCAGTAGAGCCGAGGCAGGCGCTTCTCTGGAGCTCTCGCTTTTGGTGGCCCGACGGATGCTGGCGCAGCGGGCGCTCCTTTAGTGCTCACGGGCCTGCTTGGTGAGTGGGTCTGGCCTCTGATGTGCAGCGGTGGCTGATGTCATGGCAGTCCGAGCGCAGGCTGGAAGAGAACTTCCAGACACAGAGCATTTCAGGTGGCAGTGAGTTTATTAAGAACAAAGAGTTGAGGTAGTGTGGGGGCAGTGAGCACAGGGGGCCAGCCTCCTGACAGACCAGGAAGAGAGGACGGGACGCTGTTAGGACAGCTGGTCAGCTCAAGGGAGAGCTGACGCTTCACATGGATTGGTAGCCAATTAAGAAAATTCCTGCGGGGAGGGTGGCATCAGGTGATTGGTTTGGGCGCAATCGGGTGAGTACCAGGGGGGAGGGGTTGGGACGAGGGGCATTTTTGCCTAATTTGGAGTCAGGAATCTGGACAGTAAGGATCAGGGCAGGTTTTGGCATTGGTTACGATGAGGCTCAGTCAGTTCCAGAGGTGACCTTGGATCAGGGCTCTGCATCAAAGGCCTCACACCTGTGACCTCAGTATGGGACTCCACAGTTGAGTCAAAGCTATATTCCTCAGACAGAAATGAGGAGCTGGGTGGGAAGATGGGAGCTGGGGGCTAGTTAGGAAATGTTGAGGGGTTTGGTGTCTGTGTGTGTCTGGAATATGAACCAGTGATGGGGGCAGCTTGGGGGACCAAGGGTCTGGGTGAGACAGGCTGGGAGGGGAGGTGGGCAGCAGGGGCAGCAGCCCACCTAGCTGATGGGATTCTGAGCTCGGAGAGCTGCTCCCTCCTCTGGGACGACTTGGGCACCCGAAAACCTTGAGAGATGGTCATGTTTGGAGGGTCTCTGTGTCTTGTCAAATGCTCTGGCTCCTTACTCTTGGCTCTTGTGGCTGCTCTGGTTGACTGGCCCCAGGCAAATTTGTGAAAGCCGTGGGGGGGGAGCCATGTCTTCGGATCCCGCTGCCTGGCTCCTAATCTCAGCTCTGCCATCTCCTGAGGTATGTGTGACCACGGCAAGGTAACTTGATCTCTGTGCCTCGTTTCCCTCATCTGAAAAACGGGGACAGTAATGAACTCTCCCTCACAGGGTCGTTCTAAGGATCAGGTGAGCTGATACTTGCAAAGTGCTTCAAACAGAGCTAGACACACATTACATGAGGTGGAAATTAGAAATGTTGGTTGTTAACTGTTTCTCCCATCCCAAATTCCTCACTGGCCCAAATCCCAGGGCATCGACCTTGGCCACAGTGTTCATGGTTTTCCTTCCATCTGTACCAGGTCTTGACCAATAAGAGTCACCTCTGGAATGAGGAGGAAGTGTGGCGGATGGAGATCTACCTGTCCCTGGGAGTGCTGGCCCTTGGCATGCTGTCCCTGCTGGCTGTCACCTCACTGCCATCCATCGCGAACTCACTCAACTGGAGGGAGTTCAGCTTTGTCCAGGTAAGGGAGCCTGGGCCCTGCCTCTCCCATGCGTGTGCCTTCCCATCCACATGCTGCCTGGGTTTTCATAATCTGTGCAACAGAACCACTCAGTCCAGTGTCCCGGGAGCCTGGCAGGTTCACCCAGGTCTCTTGAGAAAGGGGCTGCCTGGGACCAGCTCATCTTCACAACATCTGGGGAAGCCAGATTTAGGCACGTGAAAAAACCAGATGGCAGAATGTTGAACCCTGGACTACACATTCTCAGTTTCTGCAATTCTTGGGCTTCTGAAACAAAATCCCATAACATGGAGTCACTGGACATGTCGCTGATCTGGCCAGGGAGTCAGTGAGCCCTTGAGTGAATCTAGCGGCCCACCCAGCACCCTCAGCTCAACCAGGCCCTGTTATTCCCTTTGACCTCTTGATTCATGCAGAGTGGATGGGAGGTGGGCATGAGGGTCTCCAATTTATAGGAAATAAACCACAGCATTTCCCAAAGGACACCACTCCTATGAAAAAGGACATGTGGGGTCAAATACATTTGGGAAAAGATCCGCTGCCCCTGAGTTAGTCACAGTGCACTTTGGCATATCAAATTAATGTCTACCACAAGCAAACCTTGTTCAGCCGACTTATTTGAGTCGTAGCACCCTCCCTACCCCACTTCCCCCACCACCACCACCCACATAACAGCTATCTACACTCTACAGAACACACTTAGGAATCTGCTACTAGTGGCGAAGGTTCTTCATGCATTTATTCACTCAGTGTTTATTGAACACACACTCTGCACCCAGCATTGTGCTAGACCTGTGAACAAGCCAGGCATGCACATGTGCATATGTCCGGATGCTCAGCCGTGTCTGACTCTGTGTGACCCCATGGACTGTAGCCCCCCCAGGCTCCTGTGTCCGTGGGATTTCCCAGGCAAGAATGCTGGAGTGGGTTGCTGTTTCATCCTCTAAAGCCAGGCATTGCCATGTTTTAATTTTAAGGACAACTGTGAAGGGACATTTGCATTCCTCTGGCATCGCCCACTTTTCTCTATACAGAGCACGTGGTCAACCCCCAGTACTGACACGCTAACTCACCCACTCCAGTGAGGAGTGCTGATTAACACTGGGTTCTAACATGGGCGTGGTATCAGGGCAGGGAACAAGTATCACTCCCACCCCCACTGCCGACAAACATCTGTTGCATATCTTCTCTGTGCAACAAGGACACAGCATGAGATTCCAACAGGGACACCAATGGTGCGGTATGCTTATGTAATCCAAGTTAATTGTTCCTAACTGGGGACGCATGCACAGCCTAGAGCAAGACAGAGTTGCGGCGTTTTATAAGTATGTCAGTTGCTGACTGTCGCTGGCTCTGCTCATCTTGGAAGGTCTCTGGAGGAATGCTCAGGCCTGACGACATGCTGGCAAAAGAGGGGAAGAAAGAATTTTCTTTATCTGCCGCTAATCCTCATGTGTCAAACACCCAAATCTGGGATTTTCCAGTTCCTGCCTGGAGTCTGCCGGGGTACATGGTTTATCCACAATTAAAACAGACTGCAGTTTGCTCCCCTCACCAGAAAGTTGCTTCCTTAAGCAGCCGTAGATTACAAGCCCTGGCTCCTGCTGCCGGAGAAAGCCGGGGGATTTGGTTTTGTTAGCAAAAGCTGAGAGGGACCTCAGCAGCCGCTCCGCTTTACATACTGAAGAGTTGAAATACAAATAGGAAAGTCCTGCCGATGCTGCAGGAAGAGGGGGGTGGAAGGCTGAGAGAGGGGTGGAAAGGCAGGGTTTTACTTGTGGAAATCCAGGGCCCACATTCTGTCCTCAAATGCTTTATCTCCCAAGGGTGCTGACATGGAGAAGGAACAGTTGTTCCAGCTCTGGAACCATGGGCAGATCACGTGCGCTCCCTAAGCCTTACCTTACACTCTTGTGGAGTGGAGTGAATTCCCTCCAGAGGTGCTGTGACTCACTGTGCAAGATTATGTGTAAAACACACATACAAAGTGACTCGCCATCATTCTCGGGGCATGTGGCCACATTTCCATGATCACTAAGCCACCAACTGCCCACTTCTGAGCCCAGTAGGAAGCAGGAGAGGACTGAACAGTTGAGCCACTCAGCACTCAGGGGAGGCCAAGAGACTCCCCCGAGGGCCTTAGAATGGTCCAAGGCAGGTTTGCAAACTGCAGTGGACACTCATTGATGGGTCATGAAATCAACTTTTGGTCTACAACAAGCTTTTAAATATGAAATAGAATAGAACGTCTTCCAAAATGTCAGGGCACTTCACATGTTCTAAGCACAGACATCTTTTTTTTCAGTTGTATCAGTTCAGTGATTATAGATACATATGTGGATAGATGTCATTGTATACTGGGCGGTAATGAAAATGCGATTCTTATGGTGAGCTGACATCAAAAAGTTAGAAGTCACAGAGCTCTTGGAGAAATGCAGATACCCAGGACTACCCCGACCTATGGGTTGGCTCTAGAATCTGTCTTTATAAGCTCTTTGAGTGACTTAAGTGCATGCCATGTGGTGTGTGACAGTCTCTGAGATGGTGAAGCCAGCAGACCTGGGTTTCAGTCCCAAGACCACTACTTACCAGCCCTGCACCACTAGACAGTTTCTTAGCCTCTCCGAGCATCCTGACTGTGTCCTGACTTGTCTGTGTCCACCTCCTGTAGTCATTGGGAGAATTTGTTTTGAGGATGTGTATAGTGCATGACACATGCATCCAATGGTGGCTGTATAGTTTTTGAGGTGAGCTCCGTAAGGTAAGCACTGCTTTATAAAGAGGAGTACCCCGACCACGTCTCCTTCCCCAGCCAAGAATGACCGTCACCACAGCCTAGAAACTGACTGTGGAGACAATGTGGTTCCCAGTGGGCCTGGCCTGACCCCTGGGTCTGTAATGATTTACTGAGCTACAAGCCATCAGAACAGTGTGTGGATTCAACAAGTTGACCTGTGTGTACATTCCTGACACTGTTTTCAAAGTTTTTAATTTGGGGTTTTGTTTGGGTGTTTTTGTTGCTCTTGTTCTGGGCCGTGTCAACTGCTCCTAAAAATAAGCCAGTTTAAACATGGTCAGATTGCAGAATACCAGGTCAGTGCAGCTCAACTGGAAGAGGAACTAGGGTTCAGCTCTTAGCACCTCGGTTCTGCCCCTTAGTTAGAGGAGCTTCCTGTGGCCTTGCCCCTCTAGCCACTTGCCTGAAATAATAGCAGAGGCCTGCTCTGATCCCAGCCTTGTGAGCAACAGTCCAAAGCCCCCGCCCACCACAGTAACTGGGCACTGGCAGGGGCCAGCAACAACCTGGTGGCTTCTTTCCCACTAACAAGCTTACATCTAATAGAAACGGCCTTAGCTTGTTGTGGGAGTCATTAATTGCCCCAAGATCATGCCTCCCTTTGGCTGTTCTGGGATTTCTAAATTGTTCCCAAGGAGAGTGAGTTTTAGGGAAACAAACTTGCTGGAGTCATGCAGGCTTCTCGTTGGGATTGGAAAGTCAAAAGGCCCTTGTCGTTGGCCGGTCTGTGGCTGTCAGCCCTCCCTGTGAGCCATCAGCCCGAGGCTGGGCCCTCCTGCCATCCGTCACCGTGGGATTCTGGATGGTGAAGGGAAGAGAATGTCTGAATGGGAGCAGGTCTTTATTGTCTCCCAGGGCATGTCTTGTTTGCCCAGCAGAGTCCATCACTCTCCAAATCAGGGCCAGGGACAGTGGAGAGCATGGGCGAAACACTGGAGCCCCAGGACATGTCACCAAGGGAGGTGCTTAGGCCTCACTGGGGCTGCCAGGACTCGTTCCTGGGCCAGGGTGGATTCTCACTGCTGCAGCATCTGGGAAGGCATCACAGTGCAGAGTGTGAGCCCATTCAGGCCCTGGATAGGTCTTTGTCAAAGGAACAGAAAGGACCAGGTCCACCCCCATCAAATAGCCTGAGCAGAGGGGCCACGAAGACGTCTCAGCCTGAAGCTAGACGGTCTCAGCTGAGGAAAGTCTCCCAAACTGGTGATTCTTAGTCCTGTCTGCAAACAGCATCCTTGCTGAGCTTGTAAAAGCTACCAGTGTCTGAGCCCCATCCCAAACCAATTTAATTTGAATTCCTAAGACTGGCGTTTGGGCATTAAGATGTTCCCCAAGCTCCCCAAGTGATGTTACTATGCAGCCAGATTTGAAAACAGTCTCCGGCTGTGAAAAGGCACACCCCAGCCATCTCAGCAAAACCCAGTGAATTCATCTGAGTAAGGAGAGCAGTAGTTTGGGACTTGGAAGTTGTTTGGGAAATATCAGGATGGTTGGAAAGATAGTTGAAGATTTATTCCTGACAGAGAATTACTCTGTGGGCCAGTGGTGAGGACTCTGTGCTTGTAGTTAGCACTCTTCCAGACCCTACTTTCCGTTACTTGGGATATATACCAGAAGTGGAATTGCCAGAGCACATGCTGACTGTTTTTGAATTCACTGAGGAATCGCCATACCATCTTCTGTTGTAGCTGCACTCTTTCCACTCCTACTAGCAGCAACTGTTCCAATTTCTCCACATCCTCACCAACACTTTTCTTGTTTTGTTTTGTTTTTAACAGTAGCCTTCCTCATGGATGTGGAGTGGTTTTGATTTACATTTTCTTGATGTTGGGCATCTCTTCTTGTGTTTACTGACCATTCATGTATCTTCTTTGGAGAAATTTCTATTCAAGTCCTTTACCTATTTTTGAATTAGGTTGTTTGTTTTTGTTGTTGAGTTTAAGAGTTCTCTATATATTCTGGAGATTAATCCCAAATATTTTCTCAATGCTGGGAACTTCTTTAACCCGAGTCTTCATTATCAATAGACCAGAACTTAGAAAAAGTTAGTGTGGTTCAGAAGTTGCTAGGAGATTTGGAATTCTTGACAGGTCTGGAAGTGACTCTGGTTACATGTGACTCACAGTCAAGAAGCCTGCCACTTGGGGGCCAACCTTTTCATGTGACACCTGAAGTAGCTGTGGGTAGCACAGAGCCAACAGTGGGCTTTCCCAACAGGCTCTACTGAGCCAAGAGGTTGTTACTGCTGCTGCTAAGTCCCTTCAGTCGTGTCCAACTCTGTGCGACCCCATAGACGGCAGCCCACCAGGCTCCCCCGTCCCTGGGACTCTCCAGGCAAGAACACTGGAGTGGGTTGCCATTTCCTTCTCCAATGCATGAAAGTGAAAAGTGAAAGTGAAGTCGCTCAGTTGTGTCCAACTCTTAGCGACCCCATGGACTACAGCCTACCAGGCTCCTCTGCCCATGGGATTTTCCAGGCAGGAGTCCTGGAGTGGGTTGCCATTGCCTTCCCCAAGAAGTTGTCAAGGATGTGACAAAAAGATCCTTGAAGTGATCACAAAGCCAAGAAGAACCAGAGCTGGCTAAGGAAGAATAGAGACAGGATCTTTTGGCAGCTAGTATTATTTTTCTTGTTCATTCACTAAGTCCTGTCCAACTCTTTGTGACCCCGTGGACTGCCACTGGAGTGGGCTGCCATTTCCTTCTCCAGGGAATCTTCCCCACCTGGGGATCAAGCTCAGTAGTTGCGGCTCCTGGGCTCTAGAACACAGGCTCAGTAATTGTTGTGTACGAGCACAGTTGCTCTGAGGCATGTGGGATCTTCCTCCATCAGGATCAAACCCACGTCTCCTGCACTGGCAAGTGGGTTCTTTACCACTGAGCCTCCAGGGGAACCCAGCTAGTATTTTACTTAGGGTTAAAACATTATACTTGCAAATAAGTTATGAACTTGTATGTACAGCCATTAGAAAATATTATTACTATTTTTAGTGAAAGCATTACAAGAAATTCTTCTGAACCAGTCACTGAGGTTCACCATCTTGGGTTTACACTAGAGCTGGTATAAGCAAAGCACCGCCCACGCCAGGGAGGAGTAAGCATGAGGTACAGTAGTAAAATCAGACCCACTTAGAGCCGTGTCTGAGGGCACTGCAAACAAGACAGCATCTCTCAGCCAAGCCCCTGGATTGATGCTGACAAGCTGGGCTGGAAGGAAATCCAGGAGGCCAATTACAGCTTCTCCGTGGAAAGCTCAAAGCCAACCTGTAAAAAGCACCCTCAGGTACCATCAAGCTGCCACATTTCAATTAGACCCTTGCAGAGTCTCCTTGGAGAAAGTGCATGTGTGTTCATCGCTTGTTGGGTCATTGCATATTCCTTATGCAGTGAACACAGGTCTCTCCCACCAGACTCTCTCAGCGCCCCGTGCCCTCCTCCCCAACGTCTACAAAGCCCTAACCCTAAGTGCCCTCAGCTCTGCACTGTTGCCTGCCAGGTCTGGGGGCTGCAGAATGCTGCATCGATACAGCTTTCCCCACAATTCTGACTTTGGCGTTTGTAATCACTTCCTTCTTTCTGAGGCTAATGAAGCGACTTGCCGAGAATCACGGTGTCAGTTGAGACTAGCACCGACAGTAAATCTGGAAGGCGTCATCTGTAGTTTGCAAGAAACCCTGCCTGCAAAAACATCCCCAGAGGCTGGAGTTACAGATCAGCACTTCTTGGCTATTTTCACATTGTGTTCCCCATAGAAAGTCACGTTTGTATAGCACTTGGGGTGATGAGCTGCTCACGGCTGGAACGGACCCACAAAAGCCCACACCTGGCTCAAGGGTGGGATACTCTGCTGTAAGATGGCCTGGACCGTGTCCATTCGGATTTGTGATTGTTTTGATCTCCTTACCATTACTTATCTCCTTCCAGGCAGGAGACTAATCCTGGTAGGGTTTGTACCTGGGGTGTTCATAGCTCAGAGCATGGGCAGGAAGTAAGGGACCAGTACCCACAGACAGCATCTTTATGGTGCTATGGGCTTTGTATACAGTGTGAAGACACCTAGCCTAGAGGCCCCTGAGAGCCTTCTTCACTGTTGGTGCCAAGGGAACTTTTTCCATTGTGTTTTATTTTATCTTTTCTTTTTTTTGGCCATACCCCACCCAACGGCACGTGAGATCTCAGCTCCCCAGCCAGGGATCGATCCGGTGTCCCCTGCATTGCAAGGCAGATTCTTAACCACTGGACCACCAGGGAAGTCCCTGTGTTTATCTTTAAATCAACTTAAAATCCACTTGTTTTTTTCCTGGCCTTATCTTATGCCAAATATTATCTGTGAAATTATGATTTTGATATGCTAGCAGATACTTATTACTCTACATGTATGAATATATACACAAAACTGCTAACATGTTTTTAAACTTCTTTGAATTTAATTCCATCTTAAGTCCTTTGGCAGCCACTGGAGGTATGAATAATACAGTTTGGGGAAAAGCATTGTTGTTTTATTGAATCCTTACGAATCAATCGGTTCTTACACACATTGGCATACGAGCATTGTTCCCATTTTTCTGTTGGGAAAACTGAGGTTCAGAGAGTTTGGGTAGTAATAAGATCATGCAGAGAGTGAGCGATGGCGCTGGGATTTGAACCCAGACCCCCACTAAAGCCACCCTGCGTCTTTGCCCTGTCATTGGCGGGATCGCTGTGTCCATGCACACCCTTACTGCAGCCTTCTTTTTCCCCGCAGTCCACCCTGGGCTTCGTGGCTCTGGTCCTGAGCACGCTGCACACGCTCACCTACGGCTGGACGCGCGCCTTTGAGGAGAGCCGCTACAAGTTCTTCCTGCCGCCGACCTTCACCCTCACCCTCCTGGTGCCCTGCGTTGTCATCCTGGCCAAAGGCCTGTTTCTCCTGCCATGCGTCAGCCGCAGACTCACCAAGATCCGGAGGGGCTGGGAGAAGGATGGTTCCGTCAGGCTCACACTGCCAGTGGACCGCGCCCTGGCCCAGAAGACAAGCCACGTGTGACGGGCCTGCACCCAGCTCCGGGGAGCCAGACGCAGGCGGGAGGGTGCCCAGAGTCAGCCAGGACTTCTCGATCATGCAGGACAGCAGAATCACACACAAGTTGGTGGGCCGAGGTCTGGATTCCTGGGATGTGTGCAGTAATATTCAGAATGACACGCCTGTGTGTGATATATATGTGTCCACATGTATTTCATATAGATAAAAAAATTTACAATTATACTTACTTAGCTCAAAAGTTGAGTCCCTGAGATTTCAACCTGTAGATTTCAAAGACAGTGCCAGATGTTAGGAGAAGGGCAGCTCACACTTGGGACATCTGCAGAGAGCTGAGCAGACTTGGCACAGAAAAGGCAATGAGAGGCTGGCACTTTGATTCCATCCATGCGTGCGCCTCCCAGCTCCCTGCCCATTTTGCTACTTTCCCTAGGGGTTGCAGAGCTGAGGCTCTCGAGTGGCACGGCAGACAGGGGCTCTGCCTGGAGCCCAATCCAAGTGCACAGGGCTGACCAGTCACCAGGGGGCAGGGTGCCGCCCTTCCTTCAGCTGCGGCAGGAGGCCAGGCGGGGTTGAGGGCAGTGGGGGTGAGCCCAGGTCTGTGCCCAGGGAGCCACCTGAAGCTTCATCCTTTGCCAGGTTAGGAGGTGGGAAGGGGGAGCGACTGGGGCTGAGGCTGCTACCCCTAATTCTCCCTGAGCTGGGGAGATTTTTTTTTCCTAAAAGTCAGAAATCACCCCGCCAGCTGCAAATTGATCCTCCTGTGGGAGTGTGAAGTCACCTCCTTAGCGGAGCCACTAATGAACCCTGTCTTGAGAACAAGTGTACCTTCTTTTCCCTCTCTAAGTTGGTGATGACTGTTATTTAAACCAGTGTGCCTTCTCAGCTTGTAAATCATCAGTGTGAACGTCTCCCCAGGAGCAGACCCTCTAAGAGTTGGTTCAAGGGGGAGGGGGAAGCAAGGCCTGCCTTTCTCAGGGCCCCAGCCAGAGGGCTGAAGGATGATAGTCCTCACTGGATTGTCCTGTGCAGGGACACTGGGGACTTTTTAAATTTCCTGCTGCCGCCAGGCAGAGAACCTGCCTTCTGAACACCCCAAAGCTATACTGGCTCCAAGTTCCTCCTAACTGCAGGGTTATGTTTCAAAATAGCTGTGGGGGGTCAGGTGGGAGGTCTTTTCCACCAAAGCTACAAACTGGAAACACTGCTGCCCCAAAGCACAAGAGAGGCCACAGGACATGTGTCCTTGGATTGTATGCTGCCCCTCACTGATTGATACTGAAACCTTTTATCTCCCCTGTGGAGAGAAACAGCTATTCTCGGCTAAGCCCCCAACCCCTGGCAGCATCGGGATGATGTGTCATCTCTGAACACAAAGGGGTGCGGTCCTGATGGAAGACATCAGTGAGATGTACCCTGAAAGGGGGTGTTGGTCATGCTTATATTCTTAGGTCTCCCAGGCCAGGGGGCATCCTGTTGTCATTCTATTGCAAAGTCGTGTCCGACTCTTTGCGACCCTGTGGACTGCAGCTCGCCAGGCTCCCCTGTCCTTCACTATCTCCCAGAGTCTGTTCAGATTCACATCCATTGAGTTGGTGATGTTATCTAACCATCTTATGAAATAAAGAGAGTCAGCTGGCAAAAGCTGACCCAGGAGTGCCACAGAACGAATGCTCCTGCCTCCCCATGGAGACTGCATGAGCTCATGTCTGTGGAGCGCATTAGGGTCCTTGAGTGAAAAGGAAAGAAAAAAAAAAGGAGCCAAGTGCAAGCATATCTCATTAGGCCAGTGACTGATGGAGGGAAAGCAGTGCAGACGAAACGGCCTGCTTCCTGCGGATGTTTTCCGTCTGCTGCTCAAGAGCCGAGCGGCATGAGCTTGCCTCCCAGATGGGCCCTGATGGCGTGGCAGCCTTGGCCTCAGAGAAGCTCGCTGGAAAGGCAGTGGGCGAAGCAGAGATTTCAGCATTTGCTTGACAAAAATGCCCATCAACTTCCTGCTGATAGGAAGCCGGGAGAACAGGGCAGCTGGGACTCACCAAGGATTGTCAGCCCCACTCAGTATTAGCTGCCCTTTTTCTCAGGCCCTCCCTGGTCCTGGGATGTTTCCTTACACCAAAGATGCTGACACAGAGCCGAGTCCAACATGCTCCCTCCCCTTCCCTGCCCATCTTCCACTGCAGGGGCTCCTGGCGGGGCAGGCGCATCAGAGGGCCTGACCACACCCCAACCGGACAATCAGCTCAAGAAAGGCAGGGTGGGCTGTGCGTTTGGCCTTGACCTGGTGTCATCTGCTGTTCTTCCGTACCTCATCAGGCAGCTGACAACCGCACCCCCATGAGAGTAAGTCACTCCCTTCCAGCCTGGGAAATTCTCTGTGCCTCTGGGTACAAAAGTGCCTGAACCAAAGTGCTCTGGAAACCTGAAATGCCATGGTATGAGGTTGAATGTTTAAAATCTATGCTATTGAAACTGTGTGTTTTGTTTTTACCTTGAGGAGCTTGTCTGAGAAGCAGCAAAAATAAACACCTAGCCTTCCATGAATTTCAGGCTGTTATTTCTGTTTCATTGATCACCTGCCCATTCATTGGTTCATTGGCCCAGTAGTGGGCCTTCTGATTGGAATATGCTCTGAGTCAGGTCGTGTGCAAGGTGAGCACAGAATGATCTGGGTTAGCACTCGCCTCTGAGGAAGGGACATGCAGACCTGCAGCAAGAAGGCCAGTGAGGACACAGATGAGATCCAGGTGACAGGGTGCCCGGGTAGTAAAAGGAGTACTAGGAAGACTTCCTGGAGGAAGCAGTGTCTGTGCTGTGGTCTGATTAGAGCAGCAGGGCTCCTCAGACTGTAATGTGCACAGGAGTTGCGTCAGGATCTTGTCCACACCTTGGTTTGGATCCGCGGGTCGGGAATGAGGACTGTGCTGCTTAATAAGTTCCCAGGTGCCGCACACGGTGTCAGTCCTCGGACGGAGTGACGGGGCTTCGATGGCTCTCTTGGACTCTGCTGTGCTAAAGTCTACAGCCCACAGCCCGTGCGTGTCTGCTCCCTTAAGCTTCCCCTGGGCTCCGGCTCCCTGGCTGCCCTGCTGAGATACTGCTGACGCTGCTGCAAACCCTTGTTCTCTTCAAAGTAGAGGGGGACAACACCCCCCAGCCGCAGTCTCGCCCTCTATGTGCTCCTTGTAGGGTGCTCCCAGGTGGGCCCACACACTGGCTCCCGGTCCATCAGGCAAACAGGAACAGTTCACAGAACACCCGCCTGTCATGCAGTCAAGCTTTTCTCCTGAAGCCACCAGAATTGTCTTGTACCAGGAAATAAAAAAGAAACCCATGTGCAGAAAGCAATCTAGTGGTTGAAAACCATTTCTTGGGAACAATAACCAAAAGATGGCCTTGCCATTTTGAGCCTGTGCAAAGAGCTTTCCAAAATAAGAACCACGGCCAGAAAAAAAACTTCACTACAAATAATTTTCAATAGAAAAACAAAATCGTGTACTTGGAGGTTTGCAAGCATGCATTCTCCCACGCATAAGGCTGGGAGAGGTAAGTTTAAAAAGAAGGGATAAAGTAGATGAAAAAAATATCCATTATTTTGGTAGCTCACGTAAGAACTAAGGAGCAACCAAAATAACTCATATTATTTAAAGAGAATTATCATTCAGCTACTTGAAAAGCTGAATGTGTTTCAAAAGTAATGAAGGGGGACACTGGGAAGTGCAAAAGCTCACTTGCACTGGATCTCTTTAGAAAGAGGAAATTGGGACTGCTAGAGCAGAAACTCTCAATCTCACCAGACTAGCACCAACTTTTTCTAACAAATATGTTGAAAATTCCTTTCTATGAATGAAACTCAGTAATAATATAAACTACTACATGCAGTTTTTTCCCAACCCAGGAATCATGCCCACGTTTCCCGCATTGCACGCAGATTCTTTACCATCTGAGTCACCAGGGAAGCCCTTTAAATCAACATAAGTTCTTAATTGAAATATAAAGTAGAAACAAATCCAAAGTAATTTACACTAGCAAATCAAACCAGTCAGTCCTAAAGGAAATCAGTCCTGAATATTCACTGGAAGTACTGATGCTGAAGCTGAAGTTCCAATACTTTGGCCACCTGATGCGAAGACCCTGATGCTGGGAAAGATTGAAGGCAGGAGGAGAAGGGGGTGAAAGGATGAGATGGTTGGATGGCATCATCAAGTCGATGGACAAGAGTTTGGGCAAGCTTTGGGAGTTAGTGATGGACAGGGAAGCCTGGCATGTTGCAGTCCATGGGGTCGCAGAGTTGGACACGACTGAGCAAGTGAACTGATATATGTGTGTGTGTGTGTGTGTGTGTGTGTATAATACCAATAATGAGTAGAAATTATTATAAGTAATGATCTTACAGTGAGTAAGTTGGTATTGAGAGAAACACAATGATATTCAACTAAACACTGTGACCTTCTTTAAAACTAACATTTTAAAATAAGGGCTAAAGAAGTGTAAGAGAGAGAGAGAGAGAGAGAGAGAGTGTGTGTGTGCGTGTGCTCATGTGAATGTTGGAAACAGTGTTGAATCCTATGGAGAAGTCAAGTAGGGTAAAGACCAGTAAATGTCCACTGAATCTGGAAATATGGAAATTTTAGGGTGAGAATTTCAATGGAATGTTGGGGATAAAGTAAAGACTGGGAATGAGTGAGAAGTAAGGAAATGGAGGCTAGTTCCAGATACTATTTTAAGATTTGGCTGTGAAGTAGGGGAGAGGAAGGCTTGGAGAAATGGGGGGTTGGGAGGGTTGGTTATTTTTTCCCATGGTTCTGACCTGAAGATGTTTTAAATGTTTCTGGAAAAGAACAAGATGAACTGGAGTCTTTCACGAAGCTAGAGAAAGAGGTCAAAGTTCTGGAGGGTATAGGGAGAGATACGGCCCAGAGCATAGGTGGCTTTAGTGCATGTATTTGAGAAAACCGAACCCCCAAAATTGGGCTTCCCTAGTGGCTCGGCGGTAAAGAATTTGC